CCTAGTGAGAATTGATTACTTTATATTTTATATGTATGTGTGTTTGTGCAAATGTATTAGTCTTGAAATGATTGCATAGCTTTATAGACCATTGTTGGTTTGATTTATAGTTGATAATGATTTCTTATCTAATTGCAATTTGCTCTATTCATTTGGCATGTTAACAACTTCCAGGACAAAAGCATGGGAGATATAATTCTGCTTGCAGCTGAAATCCGTGACTTCTAGCTTGTAATGGTGGAGAGTAGTGTATGCACCTCACATTCCAAGACAACATTACTTTATTTTGCAAAGCAAGAGATTATTTGCAAGTCCAAGCTCATACGCTGTTGAAAGGATTTGTAGGGTATCATGTTATGCAGACAGTGAAGGTAAACCCATTATTACTAATGTGCCAATGACTTTCATAAATTTTCAAATTTAGGTGTCTGCCATTTATATTATTCTTGTAAGAAATAGATAATTACTCAGGATATGTAACAAATGCATATTTTAGTTTTATGAATCATAATAAATCTTATGATTTTAATTCCAACTCAACCAAGCGAGATTAAAAGGAGATCATATTAGTAGCTAAAAGCTCATTATAAGTGTAGAAAAGTATATACTAGCTGTCATAACAAACTTATGTTGACTGAACAAAAAAGCCTTGTGTTTAATCGGGTTTGTCTATGTTATATGTTCTCTGAAGGTGTTGTATCTTTCTTTCCCTTAACAAGTTATGTTAGGTTGGTTTACTTTTAGGCCTGTAGTGTATATTAATGTCCCATAAGTAGTAAATTTTATGTATCAAAATTTAGTATATTGGAATTGCAAGTAACTACATGCTATGTGTTTCAGTATTAGTTGTAATGTTTGCATAATTTTTAAACCTTTTCAAAGATGGAAACTCAATATTAGTTTGCATATCGTTAAGGTAAATGCTCAATATTAAGTCTCAAGTTAATTTTGTTGGGTTACATTTTACTAGAGTAAAGTCATGAACTACTTTTCTACTCGTTTTTGTTTGTATACTCTTTATGTGAATGCATTAAATGTTCATTCATCATTCGTAAGCTTGTATTTCAAACAAGAGAAGCATGTCCCCAATGCATATTTTTCCATCTTTACAACTAGCTATATCATGTTACTGTGGAGTGATACTTTTACCACAGTTGTTTAAATGTGAAACTCTAAAAATTAGGCAGATGACACTAGCCCTCAGTATATAATCCCTCAGGAAAAAGTCAAATCATAGTTTTTATATATTTATGATTGTGCATTAGCTTAAAAAAATGACTGGAAAGGAGTAGCAATTGTAAGTAGTAAAAGACTAACTAATTTCTTGGATTGTTTTTATAATTGTTTGAAAGTAGACTGAAAATGACATTTCATCTTTTCTTATAGCTTATAAGGGCCATACTAGAAAACAAAAAGGACAACAAAAGTGTACCTCATTTACGACAATGTGATAGTGGATGATATCCTACTAAAGGTAACTTACCTACTTAAGAAATCATGTCCGTAGAGTAGTGGTTCCTTTCTTAATACTGCCACTAGCATAGGAATATAGTGCAAGTTAATTGAATTTAAAAAGTTAATTGTTTGGCTAGCTTGAATTCTGAGTAAAATATATGTTTGGTGATGCAGGAAGAACCTGATCGCTTTGCAAACACATTTCCTCACATATTCCATGTCTATCATGTTCTTAATAAGGTTAGTTGTTCCATGACAGTAGCTCATCATTGCCCTTATTCTGCAGTCAATTTCTATACCTATGAATGCTACAAGAATGTAAGCATTCATATTCTGCAGTCAATATGTGCTATCCATATGTTCAATTTGTGCTCTATCCATATGTGTGTGTAGTTCATAATTTTTTGCTTATGTTCTTTATGTTTGAATCAATCTTATCGTAATTTTGTTTCTCCTCGCCTATCTCAACAAATTAAGATTGTTCGAGCAGCGTGAAATATATAGACTTATAGGAAAATCATGGGAATGAAGGTAATTTAAGATCGGATTAGTATTTCAACTGCTGAAAATGAAACCGTAGTTATCACTGTGCAGGTTAAGATAGTAATATATGGGTATGGTGCACATTATATATGGTTTTGTTTAGTTTCTATAAAACCACCGGCAGTGGCAAAGAACCACGTTCCTGAGGTGTCATCTTCATCAACAGTAATACATGGGACCACCTCAGTTAGCCGGCCTTCATCCAACTACAATAACTGATCACAACAGATAAGCGGCCTTCAGAAAGGTAAATCATATATCATGTATAAATGTTTGTGTCTAGGTCCTTACTCTTATACTGTTGTGTATTTTATTTGGTTGTCATGTTTTCTGTAATTTGGCCTGATAACATGAATGAATGATGCTTAACCGGTACAGAAAATATGGAAGCTTTGAGATAATTGTAGATAATTTTGTAAAGAAAGGATATTGGTAGCACTTGGCATCACTTGATAATGGTATCTATTGTGTTAGTTATTAATTGATCGTTAAGGTTTTGTCATAAACCAGTTCTATTGAATGTATTTATGTGCCTTTCACTTATTACTTTGTTGTTTTGAATTTTAAGATTTTGTATAGATTTGTCCTGATGTGTTGTTAAGTGCGACTGCATTAATTTCCCCCCTGCTGATAATTTATGATCACGAGTTGGTTTCCATCTTGATTTATAATGTTTTTCTTTACCACAGCTGATTCTATTAAGGAGTGGAAGCCAAAGCCAACACATGCAATTAACCAGGCTTCCGGACCAGCTACCATATCCAGTCTTCCGTCGTTTCAGCTGAAGCTACCATTCAGTTGCCGCCTGTGTCTAAGGTCCTTGATTCTGAGGAAGCTGCTTCTGAACTGCAGAAGAAGCTTGAGAATTTACGCGTACTACCGCGTCAACATGTCATTCTTCCAAACCATATTTTGGTTCCTGAATCTGAAAAGAGCAAGTTTAGCTTTGGGAGCCTGGGAATCAATTTTGGGGTTACTACAAATTATGTTACCAGCCCAGAGAGCCATAGAGTTTATGAGTTTTGCTTCCGTTGGCGAGCCTTTTTCCAAGGTAGCATTTCTCATAGCACCAATATTTCTGTGTTTAACACTGACACACGACACTGGCGTATATCCCGATAGTGTTCAGAGTGTCAGTGTTAGTATCGTGTCTGGTATTGGAGATAATGTTGTTTGGAAATGCAGGTAGCTTTGTTGACAAGTTTATTAAATGGAAAAGTGTTTATGGAATGGATATGTCCAACTGTTGCACAAGCATATGTAAGTTTTAGTACTAAATGTTGAATTACAATTTTAGTCATGGCTTATATTTGGTAAAAAAAGAGTTGTTTTCAGATAAATTCAGTAGAAGTAACATATAGAGGAATGATTTCAGATATTTATGACACCATGGGAGTTACAGGGATGTCACAAACTTGTATTATCAAACTTCCATTTCATAAATTCAGCTCCTCCAACAAAATGACGAAATTATACAATAATTCATGCTGCTCCATTTGCTTCCAGGTCAGAAACAAAATCTCTTTATTTTTCAAAAAATCTCATTTAAATTATTGATATATTATTTAGAGACTTTAGAAGTTTTGATATTTTACATAAACTTGATTTTGCAGGATTTAGAGGATGGAGAATTGGTGAGAATACTCCAAAATGTAGTCGCGTTTATCATTTAGAATACATTGACAAGTGGCTACAACAACAAGGATCGTGTCCTATTTGTAGAATTTACATTCTTCAATAGTTTTGTATTTCTTGTCAAATCTCTTTTTTGTGTGTTCCAAGAGAGTAGTTATAATTGCAAGCTTTAACTTTATTGTATGGTGGCGTAAAACATTTTATATAAATAAAACATTTTTAGTAATAAAACTCTAGAAGTATTGTTATTGACTTTATAGTTATGTTTGGTTGCTTTAAAAATTTGAATGTGATAAGTGTTGCATTGTCTTATTCAAATTAGATATTTGTTTTTATATTATTATATTTAACAATAATTATAATATTTTAAATATAAATTAAACAAAACTAACAACAAAATCTAAAAACATGAGAGAGAAATTACCTGCGAGTTTACCTGCGGATCTTTAGTTTGCTGCGACATTTCCTGCGAAAGTTTCATTTAACTGCGTTGTCGTCCGATAATTTATCTATTTTATTAAAATAGCCGGAAGAATCGCAGGTAAACGTTTCTTCGAAAATTTTGTTAAAATCCGCAGGGAAAACAGAATATTTCTAGTAGTGTTACCTCTCTCGTTCTTGTTCCACAATAGAACAAAAATTTTCAACAATAATAATTTATTTTAAAGCTTTTAAGGAAATTGAATTTTAATATTGCAATTTTTAACCTTTAAACAAAAATATAATTATTTATTATTTTGTTAAGGATTACGATAAACCTACCTATAAAATTAAGTAGAATAGAACTATTTAAAATCTAGTTAAAAATTAAAGGACTTAAAAAACTTTCGCAATAATTAATTTTAGAGTTATTGAGGTTGAGTAATATTACTGAACATAACTAATAGTGATATATTTGCTAATAATGTACCATAACTGCAACAATTCTAAAAGATGGTCATGCTAGAGACGTTTATGAAGGATATAACATTGTTTCACGGAAAATCATATGGGCCAAATGGAAAGAAACAACTACTTACGATACTTCCAACTAGAGGTAATTAGAAACACTAATTTGTTTGCATATATATGAATCAACCACAAACCACAGTTACATATAATATAACTGCTATTAACTTTCTAATAAAATAACTCAAGCTTTGCTACTAATACATACATGATATAATTCTGAACTTTCTCAAGGAATTAACTAAACAAACAATGTTAAAATTATGTTTTAGTAGAACACGTTAAATCTTTCAACACTGTTTGTTCCTTTGACATTCAAAAAAGCTATGTTTTGTAACCAATAATATGAATCAAATGGTCTCCAATAACTTGACAGAATTGAAAACTAATAACACATTAATTGACAGACATGTTGGCCTTCAGTATATTCTACTCTTGTGAGTCTTGCTTCTTCCTCTATCCTCAAGTTTCCACGTATCCTTCAATGACTTCCATTTAAGTTCGAAATTCTCACTGAACTTTTTTGCAATTCGGTAGATATGATTCCTTGGAGGATACATGCGCATTGCATTTGAGAACACAAGCCTTATGTCACTCGCAAACTCATCAGGTGTTGCATACAGCCTCAATTTTCTCTCAATATCCTTCAAACCAATTGCCTTTGACTTTGACTCAGACTTATCAACCATTGCTATTTTTGGAGGATCTTTCAAATCCCACCCATCTCTATCTACCATCATTCTCTTCAATATCAACCAACATTGCCTCCTCTTAACACACTCCATCGGTTTCTTCTTCAACCCACACTCTTCACCTCTTGAACTTTCTTTCCGACTGTTAAAAGCTATTTCTGTTTTTGAAACTTGCTTCTTGTTTTCAACATCAATGTTATTAGACATAACTGTGCTGGAAACTTGATTCTTGATCACCTTCTTGTCTTCAACAACATTGCCATTATTCTTTGGTTGAGACGAAGCTGTTGTTTTGAAAACTTTGTTCTTGATCATCTTCTTGTCTTCAACAACATTGTCATTATCCTCTGGTTGAGACAAAGCTGTTGTTTTCAAAACTTGGTTCTTGATCATCTTCTTGTCTTCAACAACAGTGTTATTAGGCATTACTGTGTTGGAAACTTGGTTCTTGATCATCTTCTTGTCTTCAACAACAGTGTTATTAGGCATAACTGTGTTGGAAACTTGGTTCTTGATCATCTTCTTGTCTTCAACAACATTGTCATTATCCTCTGGTGTTGTTTTGGAAACTTGGTTCTTGATCATCTTCTTGTCTTCAACAACATTGTCATTATTCTTTGGTTGAGACAAAGCTGATGATTTGGTACGATAACTTGAATCAACCCAATAACATGTTACTATTGGTTGTACAGAATCTTCGATCTTCCTTCTCTTGTTTTCATCTGTGTTTCTTGACCCAGGAGGATAACTCAACTTAATGATGAGTCTTTTACGGGGATTCGTATTCTCGGACATGGTTGCGGTAAAAAAAAGGTTTGTGTTATGCTTTTGAGGAAGAAGGTTTAAGGAAAATTATTAAAAGTACTATGTTTCTTTTTTATAAATGTTAAGGTCTTCCTCACTCGTGGGTATATATATAAACGAGTTAGGTGAACATTAGTAATGATGAATAATAAGATTTGATTTGATTGTTATAAGATTTAGGATTTATCATATCAATAATATTAAAAATTTTAGCATCTAAAGAATACGTCATCCGTAAAGAAAGTACTGACATTTAATTTTTTATGAGTTGTTGTTTTATCTACTCATTTCAAGTTTTTTTTTTAATTATCTGTTAAAACTTTATAGTTGAAAATTGAAATATTTTAAATAAATGTAACAAACAAGCCTCAAGTATAAGATTTAGGGATATCTCATATCATTAAAACTTCTAAGATTTAGGGATATCAACAACCTATGATATTTAATCTTACTTTTTATTTAAATTAATTTTTTATTTTAATTTTACCATCCTAAGAATAATTCAACGCAAAACTAAATAGCATTTAATTTTTTTATGAAAAGTTTTTTTAACAAACTTCTCATGTGAAGTTTTTTTTTTTCTTAAAATATCTCTTAAAACTTTATAATAGAAAATTGAAATATTTTAAATAATTGTAACAAACAAGCCTTGAGATTATTTATATTATAAGTCTTTAAATATTGTTCAATCTCTTTATATATTAATGCTTTTTCACAAAAAATGACATTCTTTGTTGAATTTCTACTAGATGAAAAATTCAAGTGTAAGAGATGCCCCAAAAGATATCACTGTCGATCCATATCTGAACGTTGAAAGATGACATTTTATTTAACTACTCTGTCATTGTTCACATGGTAACATGATGTATTTTACGCGAATGTACAATAAAGTTATTAAGTTTTGTAGAGGCTAAGAAATGAGGTGTACTTGATGGTTGTTCACTCATGAAGACTTTTGACAAGTGAATTAGAGTAGAAGAAGTTGCACCTTGGTATTATGAGATGCGTGGTAGTAACATTGTGGTCACAAGTGTACGTAATGGATTTCTAATCTTGAGACGGATGCGAAGTCACACCCTTTTTGTTGAACAGTGAAGATTATGTTCTAAGAAGTGAGACTGTGGTAAGCAACTATAGGAGCATCATGACAAGGCAATGACAAGGATGCATAACTTGGTCAAATATCAGTTCCTAATTCTTAGGCTAACTTAGAGCAACAAATCAATTACTATTAGTTGACATTGATTTGCTGTTAATTACCATTAATATTTACATTCATTACATTTGTATATAATATAATACTATATATGTAATACATCATCTATCAATTAAAAGACAACATCACAGTATTCTGTGTTCTTATATGGTATCAGAGGAAAACCACACTACACAAAACGTGGTCACACTCCTAATCACAACAACTCATTTCAACAAAACAGATCTACTTCTCCTGGATCTTGCAAGAGAATCACATGTCAATACTGTGACAAGGCTGGTCACACGGCTAAAGTGTGCTACAAACTTCACGGCTACCCACCAAAGTACAATCCTGGCCCATCAGCTCATTATACTCTAGCACATTCATCTAGAAATACACCAGATTGGATCATGGATTCAGCAGCTACTCATGATGTTACCAATCAACTTGATAACCTTCATCTGCAAAGTCCTTACACTGGAACAGATCAAATCATCATTGGTGATGGATCCACCATTCCAATAACCAACACTGGTAAGATTACTATTCCCACAAAAAAATACAACTTACACTTTCCTAAAGTCCTTCATGTTCCAAATATCTCACAAAATTTATTATCTGTTTCATCTCTATGTCGAACTAATCCTGTTTCGGTTGAATTTTTCTCTAATCATTTTTTGGTGAAGGATCTGAAAACAAAGGAAACACTAGCTCCTATAAACCCTCCAACTATAAACCAAACTCCTCCACATTATATAATACCCATCCCACCCACAAACACTACTAATTCTAATCCACCACCACAACAACCACCAGCAATCCTTCCAGAGGCTTCCTTGAGTTCAGAAACTTCATCAGGTAATGATGTTGAAACTCAACACTCTCCTCATAGTAGCATTTGTTTCACTAACCAAATTACAGCAGTTACTAGTGATTATCATGTGGTAACCAGATCCAAAAACAATATCTTCAAGCCGAAACGTGTGTTCAATGTTACAAACTATCCTTTATCAGAGAATCTTGAGCCATCCAATGTAAGGCAAGCAATATCTGAAGAAATTGATGCATTAATACGCAATGGAACGTGGTCCTTAGTTCCACCGCCAAAAGGCCACAACATCATTGATTGTAAATGGTTGTTTCGCATCAAAAGAAATCCAGATGGTTCTATCTCAAGATATAAGGCTAGACTAGTTGCAAAGGGGTTCACCCAATGCCCGGGAGTTGATTTCAAAGAAACATTTGCACCAGTGGTGAGACCTCAAACGGTCAAACTCATTCTCACTATTGCACTCGGTAATGCTTGACCCATGCACCAACTTGATGTTAACAATGCCTTTCTCCAAGGAGCTCTCAAAGGAAAAGTTTTTATGGCTCAACCACCTGGTATGAAAGATCAACTACACCCTCAATATGTGTGCGAACTTCACAAGGCAATTTATGGCTTGAGACAAGCACCAAGAGCATGACATGATGCACTTAAATCATTCACCATCTCCCATGGTTTTCAAATAAGTCAAAATGATCCTTCACTATTCATTTATGCTTCAGGATCAATTTTGGCTTATTTTCTTGTGTATGTTGATGATTTACTACTTACTGGCAATAATGCTAAATTTCTTACAAGCTTTATTACGTCTCTCTCAAATCGGTTCTCACTCAAGAACATGGGAACACCTTACTATTTCTTGGGAGTTGAATTCATCCCCATGGCTAAGGGCCTATTCCTATCTCAACACAAATTTATTCGAGATATCCTTGAAAAGTTTGAAATAGAAGGAGCCAAACCGTCCCCAACACCTCTCTCTCAAACAGCCGCTCTAAGCTTGCATGACGAAACCCCGACAACAGATCCCACACACTACAAAAAAGTCCTTGGATCACTTCAATACTTAAATCTAACAAGGCCAGATCTTTCATTTGCCATCAACAAACTCTCACAATTTATGCACAAACCAACCACATTACATCTTCAACATCTTAAGAGAATGTTGCAGTACTTGAAATCCACAATGAATTATGGTATTATGTTACGCAAACCAACTTCTCTCAACTTACTTGCCTACACTGATGCAGATTGGGGTGGTAATGCTGATGATAGAACCTCAACCTCGACATACTTAATATTTTTTGGTGGCAATCCGATCTCGTGGACATCGAAAAAACAAAGGTCAGTAGCTCGATCGTCCACTGAAGCAGAATATCGAGCAGTAGCAACAGGAGCAGCTGAGCTTATGTGGCTCCTCAAATTAATCAAAGAATTACGGGTTCCAATTCCGCAACCTCCAAGAATTCTATGTGATAATGTAGGAGCAGCCTATCTATGCTCAAATCCTGTTTTTCATACTAGGATGAAACATATCTCTATGGACTATCATTTTTTTCGAGAACAAGTTCAAGCTGGCACTCTACAAGTCTCTCATGTCTCTACAAAGGACCAACTAGCTGATATTCTCACAAAACCTCTTGCCACACAACAATTCAAAGATCTCACTTCCAAGATGCAAGTTATCGATGGAAACTTGCTCTTGAGGGGGCGTATAGGAGCATCACGACAAGGCAATGACAAGGCTGCATAACTTGGTCAAATATCAGTTCCTAATTCTTAGGCTAACTTAGAGCAACAAATGTTAATTACCATTAATATTTACATTCATTACATTTGTATATAATATAATACTATATATGTAATACATCATCTATCAATTAAAAGATAACATCACAGTATTATGTGTTCTTATAGCAACGAGAAGCAAACCAATATTTAGTACGCACTAAGTGTAAATAGTAGAACAGACTATATTGGATGGTCTTGTAGGTAGTTGACAAGAGTTATCAGTTACAAATCATTCAATAAGTGGTTTCGGTGTAGCTGGGACTATATCGGGGTATTTTTTATTTAACTTTAATTTTATTTTAATTTATTTGTGTAAAAATATATGTGATATGGATTCATACATTTATTAAAATTTTCTAAAATATTTATTTATTGTGGTAAAAAAATAAAATTAAAATACATATAATTGAAACAAATAATATAATAGAATGAAGTAATGTATGCGAAAAAATTAAAATAACTCATGTATTTCAAAATCACTCTAGAAGATGCCAGAAGTTAAGGACTAATTCAATTGAAATGACTTGGTTTGTAAAAATGTGAAAAGAAGATGATACGACATTGAGATTTTGTGAAAAAATATTCGAGAAGAGGTTATTTGGCAAAAAAATAAATAAAAGAGAAGTTATTGGAGACAAATGCGGTTTACGTTGATATAATAAAATAAATATTTTTTTCAAAAAAATTTAGGTTAATTAAGGAAAAATTAAGACCGGTCTAAAATACTAAATTTGTAACGTCCAAATATAATACATGTCTAAAAATACATATTATACATAGTGTAATACTGGTACTGAAATACATAAGTGTCTATTGAAAACATTGTACATATTTACATGTCCAAAAAAAACTACAACTATAGAACAATATATACAAGGGTGTCCAAAATAAAACTAGGAGGTAGAACACTCTCAGAGTGATCTCAAAATCGTTATCTATACACCGGAATGCCATCCAAAATATCGAGTAAACAAGGACATCAAACCATTTTGTCTTTACCCTTCCCTTGCTTAGAACTTTCTGAAAAATATCAACCTTTTCCCATATCTGTCATGGTTGCGACTGTTTTCCTTGAAAATCGGAAAACAACCGCTGATCTTCCAAATCTAACTTTGGTGACTCACAGGATCGATCAGATTGATCCTAGGACATGTGCTAGAAGATTTATTTTTTGGT